GTTGTCGAGCCTTTATTTTTTATTTTTGCCGTAGTTTTTTTACACGCCTTTTTTTACACTAGGAGGTGATAAGTTTGCCGTGACAATAAGTGTGAATGTTCAGCAGAGCGCGACAAAGTCCCGCGTGCATTGCCATAGGCACTCAATGTAGCAAGGATACGAAACTAAACGTTTCTGGAGCTTGATTCCAGTCAAGGATGGTGGGAGCGACTGCATGCACACCTCCTCATACGACGCCAGGCGGGTATTTAAGGTGCATCTCAAGCAGACACTCTATTTAAAGTGGTCGCAGCGAATTTCTTCCTATTCTATTTGTTAAAGAACTCCCCCACCATCCCCTCTTTCATGATCTGTCGTGAACGCATAGATCAACATACAGAGATGGTAATGGTACAGTTGGATAGGGCGGAATGTCAGCTTTAAGATGAGACTAAAAACCGTAAAAGCCAAATTCGAAAACTTTATGGTATACCCCCCCTTAAGCAGACTAATGATATAAAAAATCTAAATAATTTGTCGGTGCGTGAGTCGATGAAAACAAGTATTTCTGGTTTGAAAGATTTCCGAGCCTATCTGCAAGGTTTGCATTCGTACTAATATGTATGACGTAATTTGCCACATTGAGAATAATAATGAATCATTGTCTAAATATTGATGCACATTTTCTTACCCACAGTACGAGCAGAAATGAACGTAGCGAAGATACGCTTGTTGGCTGAACAAACTGGGTTAGGGTGACCCACAAGAAGGCAGTATCTGTAGTAATGTTTGGACAAAGTCCAACTTATTTTCTCCGAGTGTAGTCCACTGCTTCAAACATGCATACAAATAATGCTGACTGTCCTTCAACATGACTTGCGTAACGTCTACAGTCATTGCATGGAACCTTATTTGTGATAATATCCTGTCATGGCAACGGATTTTTCAAATCTTCTTTTCCAATGGTGCATGTAACACCTGATACTTTTTTCCGTTGGCATAAACAATCGGAATTATCACCTTTCTTTGAACATATTTAGCAGCATTTCATCCAAGAAGAAGCCATTAGCTTATAAAGTATAATTTCTCTGTAATTCCCCTAAAGTTAAAAGAAGTAATCTGCAGGTTTGGAACTTATTATCAAGATAGCGTCGCAGTTTGCTGCTCTTGAGCATCAAGATCGATAAGTCTTCTCCTTATAAACAATAAATTTGCTTTCATCTCTTCAAGGACTCTTCCCGATGAAGTGCGCGTTATGCTTGCATGTTCATGAGCTGGCACTCGATTGCTCTCTTTTAAAAGTCATTTGCTATTGATAAACATGCTGATATCTAGAGCTTGCACTGGAATTGTACAGCATGGACCGTACTATCAAAAATAGCTAAGTGTTTGTGACTCCATCGGCAGATAACCGGCGACATTTCAAACCAAACCTATTAATCAGAACGAGAATTTGCCACATGTTTTTAAGTGACTGTTAATATTACGATCCCAGATAGGAAAAAGTGGTTTGTTTTGATAAGATATCTAATCCAATTTCCAATTGTTTGTGATAAGAGTCAGGTTTCCCAAAGAATATTTATAATGCAAGCAGAAATGCGCATGCGGAATGCTTTTCATGAGAAAAAAAAAACAGATCTTGAAGGCCATGCATGATAACATCGCCATAATTTTCGTCGACCAACATGAGACGTGCCTTTACTAAATTCACGAAACAATTTTGTTGTGAGTTTATGAGCTTATAATAAAATTATTAAATTAAGTAAAAGCTTTTACCGTGTTTATAATTTTCATTAAACATGTGAACGATATTTATACACTACACACTGCTTGTTAATGAACAACACATTTTACGACAGAACACCTCTAGAAGATACAGTAGGGAAAATAAGTATTTAGTCACTAACAAATTGTGCAAGTTCTTCCGCTTAAAATGATAAGAGAGGTCTGTAATTGACATCATAGGTAGACCTCAACTATGAGAGAAAAAGCGTGAAAAAATTGTGAAAATTATTTTGTCGGACTTTTAAAGAATTTATTCGCAGATAATGGTGGAAAATAATAATTTGGTCAAAGTATTGGTCAATAACAGAAGTTCATCTCAATACTTTGTTGCATATGCTTTGTTGGCAATGACAGAGGTCAAACGTTTTCTGTAAGTCTTTACAAGGTTGGTACACACTGTTGCTGGTATCTTGACCCATTCCTCCATGCAGATCTCTTCTAGAGCAATGATGTTTTGCGGCTATTGGCGGGCAACACGGATTTTCAACTCACTCCAAAGGTTTTCGATGGGGTTGAGATCGGAAGACTTGCTAGGCCACTCCAGGACTTTGAAATGTTTCTTACGAAGCCACTCCTTTGTTGCCCTGGCAGTGGGCTTGGGATCATTGTCATGCTGAACGACCCAGCCACGTTTCATTTTTATTGTCCTTGCTGATGGAAGGAGGTGTGCACCCAAAATGTCATGAAAAATGGCCTCATTCATTCTTTCATGTACACGGACCAGCCGTCGTCCGTTTGCAGAGAAACAGCCAATGCATGATGTTGCCACCTCCATGCTTCTCAGTTAATATTATGTTCTTTCTACGCAACTCCTCATTCACTTCCCTCCAAACACGACGAGTTGTGTTTTTAGTAAATAGTTCTGCTTTGGTTTCATCTGACAATATGACATTCTCCCAATACATTTCTGGAGCATCCAAATGCTCTCTAGCAAACTTCAGACCTGACTAGATATGGACCTTCTTAAGCAGGGAGACACGTCTAGCACTGCAAGATCTTAGTCCCTTTGTAAAGTTGCTCCCAGCTTTCTGCACGTCATTCACTAGATCCCCCCTTGCGGTTCTGGGATTTTTTCTCACCGTTCTTGTGATCGTTTTGACCCCACGGGCTGAAATCATGGGTGGAGCCCCAGATCGTGGGAGATGAGTTGTGGTCTTGTATGTAGGTCTTCCATATTCTGATTATTGCTCCCACAGTAGATTTATTCACACCAAGCTGTTTGCCTATTGCAGATTCAGTCTTCCCCGCCTGGTGCAGGTCTATACAATTCGGTTTCTGGTGTCCTTCGACAGCTCTTTCGTCTTCACAATAGTGGAGCTTCGAATGTGACTGTTTGAGGTTATGGGCAGGTGTCCTTTATACTATTAACGACTTCAAACAGGTTTAATTAATGCAGGTAATGAGTGGGAGAAAGCGAAGTCTCTTAAAAAAAGAAGTTGCAGGTCTGCGACAGTCAAAGATCTTGCTGGTTTGTAGGTGACCAAATGCTTATTTTCCACCACAATTTGCAAATAAATTCTTTAAATATCCAACAAAATTATTTTCCCTATTTTTTTCACCTTTTTTGTCTCTCATAGTTGAGGTCTATCTATATGATGAGAAACAGGCCTCTCTCATCTTTTTAAGTGGGAGAACATGCACAATTGGTGACTGACTACATACTTATTTTCCCCACTGTACGTAAGTGTTCGGCATAAATTTAATAAAGAGTATTTACTGCTTTGTAGAGATGTTACATTAGAGGCTGCTGAATAAGGGAGACCTGACCGTCTATTGTGGCGAGGTAAGTAAAAACCGCCATCACTCAGTAAAATGAATTGTTCAAATTGTCCAAATAGTGACATTTTTTCTCTACGCAGCAGTGATACGCTCTTTTTGCCGAGCTAAAATGAGTGAGGATGACCAACACGGACAAAAAATCCATCCCTACTTAAAAAAAATGTATTCATATCCCTGAATGTTGTTTCGATGCTCGACGTGTGCCGGCACTCAAACTTGCAATTATTTTCCATTACTCCAAATTGTCCCATAGTTTATACAATGTTGTAATTGAAAATAGGTTGTAGCGATAAAAAATTTCCAGTTGATCAGTGAAGTGAATCGTCCAATGATTATATTTCAAACGTTCACTCCTTAAATGCAGGGAAATTCGGAACGCAAGTTCAGGAGTTCTCAGGCCCATATTTGTATCTCAGTGGAAAATTTGAAGGATCAGTTCTTGTGTCATAAGGAATCGATCCTTATCATCTACAAGTCATCGCATGACGTCTGAACATTTTTCGACGGCCTCACAAAATCTGCATGATTTTTATTATTGTTGATAGACTTATGCTGTGCACCATAATATGATTCTGCTTCCGAAGATTTTTCGAATCCATCTCTTGGATTTTTACAAATTCACCTTCTTAGTATTCCTTTCTTCCTCTCTGCTTCCAAAATTTATTAAAATAACTAATCCGGCATTGCTTTTCCTCGCTTGAGCAGCCATTCCCCACGGCGGTAATCCCTGCTTATCGTGGGTCTCAGACATCGGCCGAGTATTGTGAAATCCGCGATGGGGAATTGATCGACTGATAGTATTTATTTAAGTGTTATATCGTAATGATTGACAAGTTTTCATTGTTTCAAGTATTTCTACAAACCCTTCTCACATTTATACTGTCGATCGACTTAATCAGAAACCCACGAAGATCCGCGAACGATTCTTCTCATTAATATTTCTGGTATCCCGCCATAGTAAATTGCGTACCAGGCAATAAGTCCAGCAGCTATCTCAATCAATCGTCCGTTATGGAAAGATCGGGTTCCAAAGGCCGGATCCCTTGTGAATCAAGTCACGAAAAATTCAAGAATCGGCAACAGGCTATGGACCTATTTCTTCAGTGCCGACACTTCTATTCTATTCTATGAAGTGAAGCCGCGGTCGCTATCTGGTGAAGCGCGATATTGCGAGGGATTACTGTACATAGAGTAACGCGTACCATTCGTTTCAACGTTATTTCTATTCTTATAATCATAGGTTCTAGAAATGATGAACAATCAGTGCCCTCACCTGAAGAGATGCGTGAACACCTCCTTGACATCATCGCCAGTTATTTCTCTTGCTGTAGCGACCCGCAGCACGTAGCTGATGACCAGCCCGTGGTCCCTGTACAGCTCGTACATGAACTGCTCGAACACCCCTGCCGGTCGGAACCATCCTGTCTTCGTGGGCTATTGCGTGGTCTGTAGCTCACCACAAGGTCGTGGAGGGCTATTGCGTGGTCTGCAGCTCACCACAAGGTCGTGGAGGGCTATTGCGTGGTCTGCAGCTTCATCAACATCAAAGCTCACACGGAGGCATGGCGAAGTAAATTAATCATTATCATGAGTAAATCTCAAAGCTTTAGAGATCTAACTGTTGAGTTTGTATTAAATTTCATTCATAAGCAATGTCGTTTCACTTGGCGAGTTAAAGACAGTATGGCGACTCGTATGCTATTTACGGTGGTATAGTCATTACCATGAGAATAACATTAATATCATTCGCACTTGTGTCCATTGCTTGCTCAAGCGTAAAGCGAACTGCAATACAAACAAGAAGGCAAAATTTGCGGATCAATATAAATAAGTAATTCTATTTTGGTCGTTTTTGCGTATAACTTACTAAATTTATATATGATTATCTGGTACTCAAAAGTCATATGCATGATATGACACTCCTCTCTATTAACAATGAAGAAAATACATCGCAGCCTGTTCCCAAACATTATCTTGATTGCCTAATTTAATTAATAACTCTTTTATTAAAACCTCTCAGAACTCTAATTAACATACCGTGTGAGATGCGAGCTTCTGACTGCACAACGTCGTAACCTGCCAATAGTGTAGTTGATGGGCTACTGCTGGTCTACGCCGTCTCCCAGGCAGGGTTCTCAAAAGTATATATTAGTCTCTTAATCGATTGGTGTCTCCACGCGCTGGATTTTGATAATTAGGTACATTGAGTACCCAGGCTATCAATGATTAGCTGATAGAGTAATAGACGAAGCCAATTCCTTGACGACGTAAGAGACAATTTCTGTAATTATGGTTCTATTTACCATGAAAATGAATGTTGAACCCAGAGAACTTCCATATTAAAATTTGTACATTATTCATTGATATACTGAAGGGTGAAGAGGTTGGTCCGTAGCTATATCATTGTTTCGAACGATTCAAAAATGAAAAACAATTAAAGGTTGAACGCATTTATTTAAAAGTAACCTAGTAGTTCGTCGGTCGTGCTCAAGCAACTCTTAAAAGTGCCAGTGGCAGGAGAGTTGCAGGGCAATGCCACTGGAAATAAGTCGTCAGGTTGTCTCTTATTCGTCATATCAACGGGTTTCAACGCTGTAAAATCTGATTAGGTAGTTTGCTCTGCAACCACAAAAATGTTTGCAGAGTTGTTCCTCTTTGTAACCACCCTATGCCACCTCATGTTCTCTTCCACACTTTCCTAGTGGCACCGCAACAACTAAAAAAAATTCAGTGATTTCTACATTGGGAACAGCCACCCGGTATATCCCGATATTTCAGCTGCCTCATCGCAATATCCGTCTATAACCATGGGCCTGAAGACAATGAGGGTCCAAAAGACGATACTTCAATTGATACTTTACACAGTCAGAATTCAATTAGAAATGGTTCAGATACACATGGAAATAAAACATCAAATTATTATCCTAAGAAAGTTCGAGGAACATGGTTTGACATTAATTGCTCAGAATTTAATTGTAAAAAATTGAAAACACTTTTTAACCAAATGTTATCTGAAAAGTGAGCTTTCAACAGCCTAGTACCCTAGTTTAACAACTCTCGGGTCCAAAAGTCGTGTTTCAGAGCCTAAACATCAAAACATTTAAGATAAATCTTGAACATTGATCAACGAGTTCTGAAGCATTCTCAATGCCAACATCAGCAGAATAAGGCAAAACTAAGGCATAATAGGTGGTAACTGGCGGCTTAGGGTAATTCAAATCATGGGCCCTAAAGGCAAATTCAGTTTCTTAAAATAGGCTAATAATGCTAGTAATCTCGGGTGCTATACTGGCCTCAGATCGGCTTGAGTAAGAAACTGGACTCCGGTTATGTTATATCATTTAGTCATGAAATTACACCCTGATCAAAACATTGATTACTCACATTGTGTTGACGGCTCAGAAATGCACTAAACAAACTAATTAGATTTTGTTACTCATTCAATAGCTGCAAATATAAGAATAAATTTTCATGCATTATTTAAAAACAGCGAGACTATCAATTTAAGAAAAAAATCTCCACTTAAATCCTAACGTCTTCACTTCATATGAATGATCATTTTACCAAAATTCATTCATTCTAGCTATTCAGACGGGATCTATCCAATTAATACTTATTGAATTACAATCTACTACACGTTATTTGCTTTATTGGCACCTGACCTGTTGAATGATTTAATCAAGGAGATTCAAACTTTTCTTAGAGGAATCAAACATGATATAAATGAAATAGATAGGTAGCATACAAAGGGAAACATGTCAGTCAGGCATGCAAATGAGATAAAGAGCAATATCGGTCTGAATCAGTCACTCAGACTAACTCAGTTTTCCATACTTGACTTTTAAACAGGCTAATAATGAGCTTTGGATTCACTTTTGCAAATGGCGTTCGCGGTCATACACAAGTTTTCTAATTTAACCCGACATAGGCCAGCCAATGTCAAAAAAATGTTCTCCACTCATGCTCTGCATTAGCCACAAGAATTTAAAGTATAATTGTATAATTATACATAAATAGCACAATATAATAGCGAAATATGGGCGCAAAAACGACTGGAGCGTCCTCCAACTATACAGAACGCGTCCAATTTATCTTCTTTGGTGAGTTATCGGTGCACTGCGCGTTTACACCGATTCACAGCGCAAGCTGTTCTTTGCTGTAACTCAAGGATCTAAAGCGGCGGGTTTCACTGATGAAATGTTCCACCTTTCTACAAATCTGAGGCCAGTCCGGGCAGCCAGCAGTGTCACCTCCCAGCAGCAAGGCAGAGTTGAGGACCAGTAGGCTCAGCCCGCTCCGCAGCCGCGCCCGGGCCTCCTCATATTCAGTGCATGCGACGAAGTAGTGGTGGGTTGTTTCTGGGGCTTGACAACGAATGCTGAGCGGAGAAGGCGCTTGACGGATCTGGTAAAGAGCTTTGTTTAATGAGGCCCTGCCAAACGAAATCGGGGGAAGAGTGTCTCAAAACGATGATACTGCAGACAGCGGGCTGTATGGGCCTACTGCATGATCCTCAGCTCTGCCTCACTGCTGGGAGGTGACACTGCCGGCTGCCCGGACTGTTTCTACTTGTCACGTAAAACTCCCAGTTATAGTCTCTCCATTCACATCTGATTTGTCACTTAATAGTTCCCTTGAGCATCTGATTAGTCTCTTGTCGCGTTCGATTTCATAATTATATTGTTTATCGTTTAACTTAAAATATATAAACGTTAGCTTTGTCATTTGCTTTTCAAATCTCGTCCTGCCTAAAACCTTGCCTAATAACCAAAAGGGAAGCGTCTTACAACTTGCAAATAGCGTCCGTACATTGATGGGTGAGACGGGGATGTCAATCTAAACTGTTGAGGTGACGTGACCGGTCATACGAGGACTTTAGGTCGGTTCGACACACATTGGCAACCTAAATCTGTATCGTACTGCCTACTTATTTCCCCTGGAATGCGCCCCATTTGTTTTGTTCGGTCACGATAGCAGCCCAAATTCTCACCGACCCCCATACCGTACCCGCGAATTGCATGCCATCTCTATCACAACTCTATCTCAACACTCTATCACAACTCTCTATCACAACTCTCTATCACAACTCTCTATCACAACTCTCTATCTAGACGAAGCTATGCAGGAGCATATGTTCAGTCTTAAAATGCCTAGCAAATTACGGACCAGGCAATAAGTTCAGCAGCTATCTCAATCAATCGTCAGCTATGGAAAGATCGGGTTCCAAAGGCCGGATCCCTTGTGAATCAAGTCACGAAAAGTTCAAGAATCGGCAAGAGGCCATGGGCCTATTTTTTCAACGCCGACACTTCTATTCTATTATAAGATTAGAATTTTGATGTCATATATTTCGTTAGAATAAGACTAAGTAATGCGAGTGTATTTTGATTTTGAGACAGCGATTCGGAATCTCAATTAACTGTGATATTATTTTGCCAATTCTTAGGATTTAGTTGCTAGCGTCTTGGAACGAGACTGAATGTTGTAGCTCCACCGTGATTGGTTGAGCTGCTCCTAGCCTCGCGACGGTACTCGATTATTCCTCTAGGAGTCTAGGTATCGATGGGCGATGGAAAGTTCGGTCACTTTAGAATTAGTTTAATATTATTCGACTATTAACTGTGATTAGTTTGTCAAATGATTAAAATTATGACGACTATATTGTATTGTATTATATTATCTATTTTTTGCACTTAGAGAGTGTTAACAGTCTGTTTTGTGCTCTTTATGGGCGGGGTATCGTGTTGACATTGTTTTGGCAGAGTTGCCCCTTGCGGGCGAGTGGAAGTTGTGTGTGTTCAGTAGTACTGGGTTGGGGCGCATCGGTTTCGTCTCATAATCGAGGGAACTAAATCTGGGCTTAGATGTATAAACTCCATCGTAGTTCTGGGGATAACTCTTAATGAGATCTTGTAAAGGAGTAATATCGGCGTAGGTGGAGTGACCCATACCTGTACCCTCTACCCCTCGGATCTGTACCCGTGCTTTCCGTTCCCTTGAGGATGTCGGTATCGTGGTGCAGCTCGTACCTGTACCCGTGCTTTCCGTCCCTGTGAGGTTGTCGGCATCGTGGTACAGCTCGTACCTGTACCCGTGCTCTCCGTTCCTGTGAGGTTGTCGGCATCGTGGTACATCGTACCTGTACCCGTGCTTTCCGTCCCTATGTGGTTGTCGGCATCGTGGTACAGCTCGTACCTGTACCCTTGCTATCCGCTTTTATGGTTCTCGAGAGTTTATTAGGACTCGTCAACATTGTACCCCTGAAGTTGAGATCCTGTTTCCCGGAGCTTTTGGACTTATATCGAATAATGAATTGTGTGCCTTGTACAGTGGAATTTCTGTATCGCCAGAAGATCACCAATATACTACGAAAAGTCCCTCGTGTTCATTACTCCTCTCTCCAACGCAAGGGAATTTAGGGCCGCACCAAAGTGCGACTCTTTAGCCCATGTGTTAAAACCAATACGAAGTCACCGTCAAGTCGGCACGCTACCCATAATTATTTCGACTTCGAGGCGGTGTTTCCGGTTACACAAGTAAAGTTAAGAAATTTG